CCCAACTGTCAGCACTAAGGCAGAGACGCCTTTTTGTCCTGCCAACAGCTGACGACCCTCTTCCATGGTATCAGCAAACCAGTATCTGCCTGTTTGGAAGGTGTGACATCCTGTTTCCCATTAAAGATTATATTCACACTAGCATTGGGACATTGGAGGAGAAGAGCCCCAGAGGTAAAGTTAAATACTGGGGGAACCACGTTCCTTCAGCCATGCTGAGGCCAGCCAGCACCCACGTCGTGAGTAATGAAGCGCCAGCACTGGGCCAGGAGCAGGAGGGCAGCCCTCGGGTGTCATTTGGAAGCCGTCAGTTGTGCTGGGTCTTACGTCATGAGTTGTGAAGCTGTATTTTTTGTTGAAATCCTTATATGCACATCAGCTACTAAATGTAGAATTTAAAGTCCAAGTTCCTCACCTCTATTGTTTTAAGTTTTTTATGATAGTTGAGGTTTCCATAAAAATTAGGGTTGTTCATCAGGCCAGCCAGACCCTGGGAGACAATTGGGCATCTGAAATGTTGGCATGTTCAGAGAGGTAGGGAAGGGGATTGCCTTAGTTTGGACAATTCTATACACTTAGCTTTTCGGGGTTAGGAGTTCATGCTGTATTACTACCTGTTTTTCCTGCCTACCCTGGGTTGGATAGTCTATCTCCTTAGCCTCCGTACAGCTTTAGAAAACCTTTATCCTTTCAAAGTTTGGGTGGCTGTGGGTAACATTTTCCAAACAGTCTTTCAGGGATCATACCAGTGGCCTACAACCAAGGTATTTGTCCTCTATTTTATAGAGTCTTAACTGTGGTTTGATCTACTCCCAGTGGGAAAGGGCTTCAAGGCGCCACCAGTGGTATTTAATGTGAGTACTGATACTATGCCTTTAATTTTAGATGTACACATTACAGTAATCCACTTGGTAAGTAGGCGTCACTGTCTACGGAAGGACTGCGGCAGCCTTTCCTGCCTGTTGATTCTGATGCAGATCTCACCTTCCTCCGGTCTCCTGTCCTGGCCACAGCTTTCAAAGAGTCTTCCCAGAGGGTTTCCTCCTTTCTCGGGGGCTTTTCCGAACTAAAGGGGCCCTGCGCTGGCTTCCAGCTGCTTGGGAAAGCTGCTGAGCCTCAGGGCTCCTTCCTGGGAAGAGGCCCAGCTGCCTGCCCCAAGGGAAGTTAGAGCCCACAGGCAGAACTGCACTTGCCTGGGGAGGGGGGTTTGCTGCAGCCCCTGGTCACCAAGGGTGGCGAGGACTCCGTCACTCCCAACCCAGGTGTTTGCTTTGAAACGTCTCTGGTCGCTTAGGAGTGCTGGACACCAAGCAACATAGGACCCTCCCTCCGCCCCGCCCCATCGATGCCACAGTTAATTTTGTGTTTAGGTTGCTTTCATGGGTGACTAACTTTATTCAGTGAAATCAGGGTTTGTTTGATTGAGTTTTTTCTTTGCTACTTATATATTTAAAGGTACATGTTTCTTATTTTAGATCTCTACTGATAGTATTCTATGGGAAGATGCTGGAACACATTTTGCAAATGTGACTTTTTTTGTTGTTTTTAGTTTTGCTTGAAGCCTGTGTCACAATGTCAGTTGCTGCTGCCTTCTTTCCTTTTATGAGGTTCCAGAAAATGACTTTATTTATGCAAGTCAGGTGACTCTTAGGCCATGAAACCATTTGATGATAAACAGATTATCACTAGGTGCATATCTTATTGATATTTTGTGAACTGTTATGCCTGTGTTGCAAAAGTTGAATAGTTTTGTCTATATATATTGCTGTCTTCAGTGCAGCATGGTTTTACTTAACTGAATGTTACTGTTTAATATTTTCTTCTTATAGAAGAGATCATGCCCTTTTGTATGACATGTTTTAATAAATGTTATCTGTCAATTTTGTAAAAGTTTTTTCACTCTGGGTGAAACATGTCTTTGTTTTCATTCTGGCTTTTGCCACCTGAGAATAAAAGTTATATTGTGGCCTTTCGAGAATAAATGCCAAATAGGCAGTCAGATCGAATAGGTAGTGAGTGACCATTTGCGATGCCAGGCACTTATGATGATGCTCTCCTTAAAACCCCGCCAGCGCCATCATGTGTTAGGTGTGCTGGGTGTTCTCTGCTCCTTTAGATCCCCTCCCTACCCTGTGCTTCGTTCTGGAGTCCAGCCTCTCTGGTCAGGATCTACCAGATGTGCTGGAAGGAGCTTGGCATTTAAGCGGAGAGGTTGGGGAAGTCACCCCCCTGGCTTCTTCCTGCCAGGTGTGGGCTGACGGTGGCCGGGCTCCTCTGCCAAGGGCCACAGCTCCTGTTGGGCAACTTCAAGGTTTGGTAACCACACCCTGCCTCTATCATTTCAAGCCAAGGATTGGTCCCGACTCCCTGTTTGCCAGGCCTTAGGGGCTTCTCTGCCCTCACAGGAGTCCCTTAACCCCGCCCACACCCTTTGTAAGTAGTCCCCTTATGACTACTAGCTCATCCCAGCTGAGTATGCCACATGCTTCATGCCAGGACCCTGGCTGATGCCCCAGGTCTATTCATTTCACATGTGCAGCTGCTGGGATTCAGAGAAGGCAGGGTGTTCCCAAAGGCAGGACAGTGGCCAGAGCAGAGCTGGGGTGCGAATGCTGGGCTTCGTGGCTGCAACACGTGGAGGTGGCTTTTCCTCTGCTCCCAAATCCTCCATGCTCTTTAAGGGGGCTCTGCCTCACGTCACTCTGCCCTTCCCCAGCCACCCCCCTAAAAAAGGAAAACCCTGAAGGACCAGCAGCAGTGCCCTTTAAAAGTGCTACAGGCACTGCGAGCCCCACATATTTCCACACAACAGCTCATTACCCGAGACACTGCTTGTTTTAGACCAAACTTACCATCTTCCCACACACCTTCTGTTCCCGCTGTTTGTTGTGAGGTTCCCCTCCCCATTCTGGTTTTGAAGCTGCAGTGGCTTGGCCATCCTCTGCTGGTGAAGAAGTCCAGAAGAACCGTTTCTAGCCCTTTTCCCCCGAGGTAGGGCCTGTCCATCCTGACCAAGGGCAAACGGCTCCGTCTCTGTGGCGTGTGACCCCTCTGACCCCCACTTTCACCCCACCTGGGGACCCTGCTGAGGCCTGTGGCTACCAGCAGTCCAGCCCCCCTAGAAAGCAGGTTTCACACGGCTCCCACAGGCGAGGGACCTCTGGGGTGTGGAGATGAGAAGCCCTGTGTCCTCATCAGGAGGAAGGAAAAGATGATGTGGTTCATTTGTCTTTGGGAACAGAAGGGCAGGAAGTGAGCATGTAACACCTGCGCAGTTTACTTAGATTTCCGCACAGTCACCTCGGACAGCTTCCCCTCACACCACCGGAGCATCCCTTGAGACCATCTCCAGGCCTGGGCACCGCAGAGGGCGCACAGCTCTCGGATTGTCCCACAGTCAGTGGAGCAGTGAGCAAGTCGGCAGCAGGAGATGAGATGAGGTAAGCTGGAACTTGATGTAACAGTCATTCATTATTTGGTAAATGATCTTAAGTATGTTCTTTCTCTACAGAAAGCGAAAGAGAACTCTGTGCCCTTTGAACTTTATCTTGTTCTTTTTAAGAAAACTTGGACAGTGGTCTGTGTTTAGAGTTCAATAAATGACGATGGGCAAGAGTGGCATTTTTTTACCCCTTAATGAGAAACCAGAAGTGGAGTGAAGGTGGGGAGAGAAATTTCATCATCTTTTTCTGAACTGGTTTGACTAGTTGGATCAAAAACGAACAATTTGACCCTGGCTGGTGTTGCTCAGTGGTGAGAGCATCATCCTGTGCACCAAAGGGTTGAGGGTTCAATTCCTGGTCAAGGACACGTATCTGGGTCGCAGGCTTGATCCTCAGCCCCGGCCAGGGCCTATGCAGGAGACAACTAATCGATGCGTCTCTCACATTGATGTTTCTCTTTGTCTCCTCTCGGTCTCCCTCTCTTCCTCCTTCCCTTCCACTCTCTCTTAAACAAACAAACAAAAAAAATTGGAAAAAATATCCTTGGGTGAGGATTAACAAAAGAAAAACATGTTTTTTATTTTATAATCTTCTGCCACTTTCTTGTACCACTGCAGGTAGCTTGATGCAATTACAGGAAAACCACAGCTGTCCTTTGAGGGAGTGTGTGGGCTCTATAGAAACAGTAATTTATAAGCAGTATTATAGGTAAATATATTTTATAAAAAACAGTGGCGTTTTAGACTCTAGTGATTGTGAGTTCTGATTTTTCTCATATTCCAAAATAAGAAACCGGTACTAAAGCCATTAAATGTATTTATAACTTAATAAGATACAAGTGAGTCCCCAGAGCATACTGGTCTGCCTAATGTAACAGCTAACCTTTATTAATGGAAGCTAAAGCCTGCTTCTTGAACTGCCTGTCTTGTTACTTTGGAGTCAGGATTGCTGTGATAAAATCTCACCTTTAGGGTTTGCTGAAAAGATCCTCAACTGCACGGCAGTTCACTCATGATGGAGAATGCCAAATGAGTAAAAGCTGCTAAAACTCCTGCAGGATCTGACTTCATAGAAATCATAGGCTTTTAAGTGACAGCAGTGACCTTGAACTAAACTAGATGGTTAATTTTCACCTCATTTATATAGTGTGGAATATCTACTGTCTACTCACAATAGGAAGATAATTTTTCTTGGAGAATTTTTTAAAAAATATATTTTATTGATTTTTTACAGAGAGGAGGGGAGAGGGATAGAGAGTTAGAAACATCGATGAGAGAGGATCAGCTGCCTCTTGCATGCCCCCTACTGGGGATGTGCCCGCAACCAAGGTACATGCCCTTGACCGGAATCGAACCTGGGACCCTTGAGTCCGCAGGCCGACGCTCTATCCACTGAGCCAAACCAGTTAGGGCGAATTTTTTTAATTGTAGTTTTATATACTTATCGGGCTCTGAACCCCCACTTAACCCACTGAACAATGTACCCACTTGAATAGGTGTAAGAATTGTGATTATGGACGGAAAATAACAGCTCTAAGCGAAGGTTTCATTGCACATTTAATGTGTGCTAAATTCTTAACTTGCATCAATGCATTTATTCCTGATGACAGTCCTATGAGGGAGAATTTTATTTCAGGCCCCTCCCAAAGCAGGAAAGGATGACAGCTTCCATGCTGTTGGAGAGATGTGGTCCCCCCCACCCCCGCCCCGGCCTGGGCCAGCAGGGATGTCTGTCTGAGTGGGGGTTCGCCCGGTTGTTCCTCTCCACCTGCAGAGCACGAGCACAGCCTCCGGTGCGGGGAGCACAGGCGTGGGTGGGATTAGCCCAGCGATGGCGAACCTGTTGATTTTCTTTGTTAAATGGCATTTAAATGTATAAAATAAATATCAAAAATACAAGTCTTTGTTTTACTATGGTTGCAAATACCAAAAAATTTCTGTATGTGACACGGCACCAGAGTTAAGTTAGGGTTTTTCGAAATGCTGACACGCTGAGCTCAAAAGGTTCGCCATCACTGGATTAGCCTCTGGTGCCTTTAGGTGATGGGTGACTCACCGGCAGCCCTCCAGTGGTCGCACTTTGCTCTCTTATGAGAAATACGGTTCCGTCCAGGTTCTGTTCCAGGCCTGGATCGGCTGGCCCTCCTTGAATTCTTTGGGTTCAGGAAATACATGTAGAAGTTAAACCCAGGAATGGAGAGTCCAGTGGTTTGCAAACTAGCTTGTTTTCCCTGGTGGTGAGTGTTCCATCAATACCTAACACAAGGATGGGCAGGCAAAAGGAGCATGACCCCACCCCCGTTCCCTTCAGACCAGAGCAGCTTTGTTTATTTGTTTTAATATTTTTATTGATTTCAGAGAGGAAGGGAGAGGGAGAGAGAGAGAGAAACATCAAAGATGAAAGAATCATTGATCGGCTGCCTCCTGCACACCCCACAGTGGGGATTAAGGCCACAACCTGGGCATGTGCCCTGACGAGGAATCAAACCATGACCTCCTGTTTCATAAGACCAGAGCAGCTTTAATTTCACATGGTACAGCCAGCCACCTGCTCACTTTTTCATGGTGCTACATTTACCCGGGCCTACGTGTTCTGCACTGTCCTAAGCCCTTTCTGTGGATCAACCCTGCGCCCTCACACCAGCCCTGCGAGGTAGGTTAGTGCTGTTCCTGTCCAGCAGGAGGACTGGTGGCAGAGCCAGGACTCAAACCCAGGCAGCCCGAGCTGTATGTGCTCTGTTGCTTCCCGGTGACTTGCCTGTTCAAGGATTCAGAATGTCCAGAGGAAACCCCACACTGCCTGCTGGTGCCCTGGGTGTTAAATTTTGAACATAAATAATCTAGAGAGGGATTCTAAAGACCAAGGGCTTATCTGGGCCCCCTGACCACTGCTCTGGTATTTATTTCCAGGGTTTTGGCACCAGCAGCACCTACTTACCTCTGGGTTGGTGGGCCCCAACCTGGCCCACCCTGTTCCTATCAGCACTTGGGGCAGCCACTGCCTCACAATAGCCCCCAGTCCTAGTATAATCTCCCACCGCTCGACTGCTCCAAGACCTCCTTGCTAAGCAGATCTAATCCTATTACCTCCTGTGATCCACCTGACAGTCTTAACTCCTGGCATTGGACCCCAACCTGACATTCGCCTACTGGTTCGTTTTAATTTGCCGATCCCCGTGTGGGCCCTGGCTGCTCTCCTTGGGCCTCATACAGATGATTCCCCTGCCTTGAATACTCATCTCTTTCACCCACTGCTCCCAGACCTTTGTCCTCCTGGAAAACTGCAAAAATAATCTCTTAAGGCCTTCCCTGAGCACACCTGATAGTTATTCACACCTCTCTCAGTGGCACCATTTCATTTTGAACTTAGTTTTACTGTAGCATTTGTCACTGTATTGTAACTTTATATATATCATGCCTTCTTCACACACACACACACACACACACA